GCGTTATCAAACATACATAATATTGTGGTCTTTATGTAGTAAATAAAATTCAAATAATATGATTTGTAATATTATAGTATACGACTTTAACACAAATCGTATCTTATGTATGATTAATATGCTATGTCGTTAATATTACATTTTCAATTGAATTTTCTTAAAACCAAGCTTCTAAAAGTAGCAAAGGATTTCAATCTTCATTTAATAGTGCTAAAGTCGAGCGCCGTCGTCATCCAAACTATGATATAACTTTTTCTTTGATAATTTCCTTAAATCGGCTCCGATCTTCTGAGTGGCTATCTATGTTGCCTATAATGCGATGAAATAGTTAATACGTGAATATAATGTACTACGCATTCTCTGTTTAGCGCCGGGGGTAAGTTTTGGTTGTTTATTTTAAGCCACAATTTTCTAGACTAAATTACTTGAAAAAAATCATTAACCTAATGGCTTGTTTTCTGGAACTTGGGAGTACACGTAAGCGCACTTCACGCTTATTATATACTTATTTATTTACATAAATATATTTTAGAATTCAGCGTAATGTCACTGGATATTCATTTTCAACCTAACCCAGGCATATTGACTAGTGGAAAACTCGACAAAATTGAACATGATGAATATTCAAGCAGTAATTTTAATTCTGTATTTTTATTAGTGTAAAAAAAAAACATGCGAATCGAAATAATTGTCGTCTACAACGGTATTATGTAAAGCAATAATATAGAAACAGTCCACTCAACATCTGTGCAAACTTTCGAAAGCATGCAGACTTTATACATATATACATTGTACATGTTCACGTGTGTGTTATCACGATAACAACATACGAATAAGCGTCTCTACCTAAACATTTATCATATCAATATAGAAACGCTAAGATTGTAGCACGGAATAATACCGGACTAGATACTTCGAATCGTGTTGCGGTAGGTCCGGGTTGCGCACAGGCCACGCGGCTGCTTGGGCGTTTTTTATTGGCGTCCATTTGTCAATTCATGAAGTTACGCCAGCGCTTGCGAGATTAGATACTTACGTAGCGCACACATGACGACGATAGCTATATTGATACCGCTTTAGGTCGGTGTTGTTCTGTTGTATATAAATTAGATGTAATGTTAAATAGGAGGACGCGCGTAATGAATTCGAATGGAAAACAAAACACAGCGACTCTACGAAACGTGCATAAAAATTTGTTTGCTTTCGAGCTTCTAAATTTAAAACGGCATCAAGGCCACCGCAACGGAAACTAATACTGTCGCAATTTTGCATTTGAAAATTTTTATTCGAAGCGTCTGGCATTGCTGAAGTCCATGGGCGACGGTAACCACTCACCATCAGGTGGGCCGTATGCTCGTCTGCCTAGAAGGGCAATAAAAAAAAAGAAACATCACTGGAATTAACTAAAAAAAAATAATACATATATGTATATAGCGTTTATAAATTCTGGAAGAATCACGATTAATTCTTTAGTGTTATTATTATATAATATAAAAATCGATTAGTTTACGGAGCGGATGCATATTTCGGAGGATGTCGATAGGATCGATATTTCGATTTCGAAATTTGGGGCGCCGCGAGCCTGCCTCAATGTCGGCGTGGTTGCGTTGCGGCGCGCTCCTCCCTCCCTCGCTAGTCAGAGTGACGTTTATCTACGAAGGTGAGACCACGGTCACACGGTCGCTGAACCCAGCAACTTATTATGAATACGTACCTATTTAATGAACAGAACACAAATAGTGTGGCGCAGTGAGGAATCAGGTGTTATTAGAATGATGCATTTTTAAATTTAACTTTAGACTACCCAACCTTTTAGTGCTCGGATGATTATATTATTCGATTTCCCTCGACGAAACTGGACGAGTGAACTGCACCATAGATAGTGACATCAATTTAAATCCCCACTGACCCAGTTTCTTTTTATTTGGATCAAGCCAGCTAGCTATGTTAATAATTAAGTTACAGAACAATAACAACAGAGTACATGATGCCAATTATTTCATTGATTACATTAAAAATTATATAAAATGATTGTACAGTCCGTAAAAGGATTAATAACGACCTACTTCATGCTGAACTCCGGTCGTCACGTAAACCTACATATAGGGCTTGTAACTTGTAACTTTCTTATCTAAATGCTACAAAATTTGCTATAGATTTTAAACTTATTTGCCTTTAAGCTAATCCGAATAATTTGAAACTTTAAAACTGAACTCGAACTGAACTATCACTGAAGTTATTAATAAATCAAAATTACACACAAAAAAATAATTACAAATTTCACAAAATTTAACCTATTTATTTTTTAAACTATATAACTCATAAAATATAGAAAGAATAGCAATATACAGTTCTTTGCATAGAAAAATCCAATATTTAAAATAGATGCGTTCTATGTCGATCCTATATCATTTCTCCGAAAATAGATTTTCGATTTAAGGCATCCAAGCATCACCCCCGCCGGTTTTCACGCCCAAGCATTTGTGACCCATTAGCAAATGAACCAGTGACCTCTATTCCGCAGGACTCTTGCATCGATTTCTAAAATGAAACCTTTTTGTTTCTCCTAGAAGACACCTAACATTACACCTATGCCGATTTGTGTACTGTTTTGTTCGGATAATAGTATTATGATAATTTTAAATTGATTTTTCTAGAATAATGTGTCACTCGTGAGTGGAACACGCCACTGACGCTTATAGGAATGCAAAATTATTTTAGGAACGTTAAAAATCACTAATTAATAATGTCCTATTACATATAATGACAAACGATTTTGTAATAATGGGGAAAACCTGCTAGTTATTGTCGGTTTGGTATTTGTCTCGACATCCTGTGTTTAGCATCTGCTTCAAATGTACCTACGTGTAAGTTCTATCGGTTGATTCATCCTGCTGTTAAAAGCAAGTGAAGTATTTGGTTAAGTTTAGGTTTATTATCCCTTTTTTAAAGGCTTAGAAGCTACCAAATCCTTTTTGCACAATACAGGAGTATGCTAGCAAAAGGTAAAATCATCATTAAAAACAGATGAAACATACAAAAAGAGTTTTACGGTATTTGTCAGTATTTATTTCGTCGAGTTTTTGAATATTTTTCATTTAATGTCTTGCTTGTTGTTTTTTTTGCAACTTTTAACTGCAACCTTAATTTTTTTCGTTTTTTTCTTCTTTTTTCCTATCTATGCTGATAGCCTTGAGAGGCTATTTCAGCTTCACCCTAACCTGTAGGTGAGCTCACGGGGCTCAAACCGGTAGTGTTGCTAACACTGGCCCTAGCAAGAGTAGTGCTTCGCTGAAACTACCAACGCCTCTTTTAGTACGACTGTACCGACCGTACTATCTGTTAACCGACCTACCTCACTGCTTGTTCGGTTGAGTGCCGCGTGAGCCGCACGGAGAATTAGAGCAAACCACGTTTTTTTTTTCGATTTTGAATCAACATTCATTCGCCAAACGATCACTTAAAACATGGAGATTTATGTAAACATGTTTATTTGAATGTTATTTGGTCGCAACCGATTCTTTATTTATCGTTTTCGAGTTTGTATCTTTCAGTTTTGTCGAACATCAAATGATTTGTTATTTAAAGTAATGTTTCGAGAATGTTCTCTGTTTTTTTTTTATGTTTGTCTAATAAAGAAATGCAGACTTGATCAATCAAAGGCAAACGAAGTCTGTCTTTGTACAATTGTCTTTATTGAGATATTGAATAGGTGTCTACGTAATTAAAATTAATTAAATAAGAGAGAAACATGGAAATTATCCGTCGCGAATCGAACGATTGTGTAACATCGTGCGCGCGTGTATATTTCATACGAAATTTATACTTTTTTTTTTGTTTGTTTCATAAAACTTTAAATTAAATAGATGCACCCGTGTCACCCATTAAATACGCTTGCATCATTATCATAAAAATGGCAATGTCAAGAGTACGTTGAACCCGACGATGTATCCTTGAACATTCATATAAATGTTTTATTACTTATCGTAGATAAGTTTTGTTTTTGTAGCAAGCTCTGTCGAATCGTATGTAATCGCTGTAGATAAAGTGTGTATTTTCGTTTTATTACGTTGAGCTAGGTTTGCGGTCACGTGTTGAACTTTTGGCCTTTTCGACACACTTTCGATTGGCGTTTAGACTTTTTTTTTTTATTGCTGAATTGGTTGGACGAGCTCACAGCCCACCTGGTGTTAAGTGGTTACTGGAGCATGGGCCCTCTATGGAGACATCTACAACGTAAATGCGCCACCCACCTTGAGATGTAAGTTCTAAGGTCTCAGTATAGTTACAACGGCTGCCCCACCCTGCAAACCGAAACGCATTACTGCTTCACGGCAAAAATAGGCAGGGCGGTGGTACCCACCCGCGCGGAATCACAAGTGGTCCTACCACAAGTAAAGAGGTCCTACCACCAGTAAGACTTGTTGAGAGATGTAAACAACAGTTTTAAAAAAAAGGTTTACCGCTAGGCTTTTCAAAGCTCAAAGGACCGGTCACCGTTTTCGTCGAACCCGGCGAGTAAACTAACCCACAGACACAGCCCACCGAGTTTCTCGCCGGATCTTCTCAGTGGGTCGCGTTTCCGATCCGGTGGTAGATTCCGCGAAGCACTGCTCTAGTTAATGCTAATTATTTTGCCACTTCGAATACATCCGCAAAATTATAATTTGCGTTACTGGTGGTAGGACCTCTTGGAAGTCCGCACGGGTAGGTACCACCACCCTGCCTGTGTCTGCCGTGAAACAGTAATGCGTTTCGGTTTGAAGGGCGGGGCAGCCATTGCAACTATGTCCTTAGAACTTATATCTTAAGGTGGGTGGCGCATTTACGTTATAGATGTCTATGGGCTCCGGTAACCACTTAACACCAGGTGGGCTGTGAGCTCGTCCACCCATCTAAGCAATAAAAAATAAAAACTGCCCTTTTATCGTCTGTACGTGAATTTTAAATCGCGCGTGACTCAGTCAATTGGGTTAAGTTCTCTTTGTTTCGTGTCCCAGGTGCACATGATGTCCGCAGTCAGTGGGGAGCCCATGCTACGCCGCGTCAAACAGGAAACGGATCCGTCGCCGCAGTACTCGCCCCCCGAGCCGCAGCCCCCACACCCCCAGCCGCTGCACCCCCGACCGATGCCCTTGATGCAACCGGAGGTACGTTGCGGGATCATTTGTAGAGATTTTGGTGGTGGTTCAGTGATTTTTTTATTTTTATTGCATAGCTGAAAATGTTGAGATGGATGTGCAGAGAATGGACAAGACAAGGAATGAGTATCAGAGCAAGTGTGAAAGTAGCCTCGGTGATTGACAAGTTAAAGAGCGGACGGTTAGCGTGGTATGGACATGTGATGCATAGAGAGAAGATGCGTGTGACTAGGAGATGTATGGAAATGGTAGTGCAAGGTAGAGGACGGATGGATGGATGGAGTGTGTGAATGATGATATTATAAGAGGGAGAGTAGTGAGTGTGGCGGGTAGCCATCATACAATACAAGATATTTGACAGATGCCTGAATCTCGCTTACGACATTTTCAAGATAAGCTTGCAAGTTCCGAACAACAACATTCGGACCGTCGGTCTACCGAGCAATATCACCCGTTCGGTGGAAGATCTTCTCTCTTTCGTTAAACCTACAGTAAGTGTTAGGCTGACGGCTGATAGAAGAGAATGGAAGAGAAACATTTGCTATGCCGACCCCACCTTGTGGGATAAGGTGGAGTAAAAGAAGAAGAAGATGGGTGGACGAGCTCACAGCCAACCTGGTGGTTATCGGAGCCCATAGACATGTACAACGTAAATACCGCCACCGACCTTGAGATATAAATTCTAAGGTCTGTTGACTATCTAACTGTTGCGTCGAGGATCGTGGGTTCGTTTTCCACATCCGTCAAATATTCGTGTGAGTAACAGAATTGTTTGCTCTTTTTCTCTGGGTGTTCATTATCTATATATGTATAAATTAAACGTATAGCAGTACGTTTGTCATATCCATATCGTTTCTGATATCCATAACACAGGGATACGTAATTTGGGACCGGATGATCGTGCGTGTTTTGTTCTCTATTATTATTATTATTCTCTCTATAGGTTGCTCTTGGGTTGTCGTAAAAGGCTAATGAGGGATTCAGCTGAGAACGGAAAGAAGGGTGATTTAAATATACCAGCGTATCGCCATCGCCAATCGGCACTTATTGGTGGTAGGGGTTGTATTGTGAACTCGCCCCATATTTCTACCCTTAAAGCAGGCATATCTTCCGATTTGAAGATGGGCTAGTCTTTATATAGTACAGTTGAATCTTCGACCTCATGTTTGTCAAAGTGGATAACGGTATTTACGTCGTGATGTATATGAGCCCCGGTAATCGATTTCGATCAGCTGGGTCGTGAGATCCTTCACCCATTTACGGAATATAAAAAAACAGAACTCATAGCTAGATGAATCTGAACTTATAAATTTATACTTTAAGCCTTTTGTAGAAATAGGCAGTTTTCCGTAAATCCATAAAAATCTTTGTTTTTTTTTATTGCCCTTGTAGGCAGACGAGCACACGGCCCACCTGATGGTGATTGGTTACCGTCGCCCATGGACTTCAGCAATGCCAGGGGCAGAGTAAGGCCGCTTTGAGACATTCCGTATTCTAAAAAATCCCATTTCATACGAATCATTTTAGGTACAGTCATGCGGGCTGTTCACATTGAAGTTAACAGTGTCAGACGGAAGTTGGAAAATCTGGATCTAACGAAAGGAGTGGGGCCAGACAATATCCCACCGCAATTTATTGTTAATTGTGCTGAACAACTTTCCACAACCTTGTTTTTAATATTCAATCATTCATTATTATCAGGGATTTTCTCTGAAAAGTGGAAGGAAGCCCTAATAATTCCCATACATAAAAACGGGAAAAAAGATCTAATAACTAATTATCGGCCCATCTCCATCTTTTGTTACATAAGACATGATTTAAAACGAAATTTCACATTTAGGTACCTATGCCTCTCCAACAGTTGGAACTCGAGACTAAGGACGTGAAGTTCTGCGTTTCGCCCGAGGACGGCACCATCGTGGGCAACACCAGCCCCGAGCAGCAGCACTGCTCGTCCACGACCGCGGCTGCCGCCAGCGGCAACCGGGACGAGGACACGCCGCGCAGGCGGTGCCTCGTTTGCGGCGACGTCGCCTCCGGCTTCCACTACGGAGTCGCCAGCTGCGAGGCTTGCAAGGCGTTCTTCAAGAGGACCATACAGGTTAGCTGTCACTCTCTCTCTGTCTTTCTTTCTCTTTTTCTCGCTTTCGACGAGCTCACAGCCCACCTCGTGTTAAGCGGTTACTGGAGCCCATAGACATCTACGACGTAAATGCGCCACCCACCTTGAGATATAAGTTCTAAGGTCTCAAGTATAGCTCAACGGCTGCCCCACCCTTCAAATCGAAACGCATCACTACTTCACGGCAGAAATAGGAAAGGTGCTGGTACCTATCCGCGCGGACTCACAAGAGGTCCTACCACCAGTATTTTTGCGGGTTTGGTTTTTATTACACGATGTTATTCCTTCACCGTGGAAGTCAATCGTGAACATTTCTTAAGTACGTATTTCATTAGAAAAAATTGGTACCCGCCTGCGTGATTCGAACACCGGCGCATCGCTAGATACGAATGCACCGGTCGTCTTATCCTTTAAGGCTTCGTCAAACAGGACGCGTACTTAGCGCTGCGTTTTAACGTCGCGCTCTTTTCATGTCACACAAATTGACTAGATGAGTCCAACGCTACTTGACGTAACGCATTCGCCAAATCATAGAGCCTTTCGATAGCAGTGTGAAAATTTAAAAGTATTAAGATGTCGAGTGATTGTATAAGCATGGGTATTTTCTAACAATTTCTATCAATTTTTCGGGCATTACCCAGTATTTTAATGCACATTCACTCGGACGCTAAAATAAAATTTGTAAAAAATTACAACGCCTGACGTCAAAGCGTCCTAACGCCGCGGCAGAGCGCTGCGTACTTATAGCGCTGGGGCTCTGTTTGACGGTATGTTACCATAGTAGTACAAAACATCTCGGCGTCATAGCGCGGCGTCAGTTTAGCGTTCTGTTTGACGAAGCCTTTAGGCCACGACGACTTCTAGCTGAGTATCGTTACATTTCGTGTTCAGGGCAACATCGACTACACTTGTCCGGCGGCGAACGAGTGCGAGATCAACAAGCGGCGGCGCAAGGCGTGCCAGGCGTGCCGCTTCCGCAAGTGCCTGCGCACCGGGATGCTGCGCGAGGGCGTGCGCCTGGACCGCGTGCGCGGCGGCCGCCAGAAGTACCGCCGCGCGCCCGAGCAGGCCCAGCCCAGGGTGCAGCTCGACGACATCAAGGTCGGCAGACGTGACTGGGACTGTGCGTGTGTGTGTGTGTGCTGACCCGTCAAACGTTGTTTTGCCATATCGAGGGAATTTTTAGTGTAGAAAAAAGGATTGTGTGGTTTTATGAAACCACGGTAAAAGTGAAACCTTTTTTCACATTATAGACATTTAACTAAAAAAATTTGGAATAATATTTCATTACGGGTATAAAAATCGCTTTATCAATCTTAATTTTATACTTGGATATTTTTTTTCTATTGTTTAGATGGGTAGACGAGCTCACAGCCCACCTGGTGTTAAGTGGTTACTGGAGCTCATAGACATTCATAACGTAAATGCGCCATCCACCTTGAGATATTAGTTCTAAGGTCTCAATATAGTTACAACGGCTGCCTCACCCTTCAAAACGAAACGCATTACTGCTTCACGGCAGAAATAGGCAGGACGGTACCTACCCGTGCAGACTTACAAGAGATCCTGGTACCAGTAAATTCTGCGAAGCACTGTTCTTGTTAGGGCTAGTGTTAGCAAGTTCTCTCAGGTTGAGCCCATGAGCTCACTTATCCGTCCGGGCGTAGCTAGAATAGTCTCTTAGGCTACTAGCGAATAAATAGGGAGAAAAAATTTGATTAGCCGTTGTACTGTTAAAACTGAGACATTAGGACTCATATCGCAAGGTGGGTGGCGGAATTTACCTTGTAGATGTCTATGGGCTCCGATAACTAATAAACATCAGGTTAGCCGCAAGCTCGTCCACTCATATAAGCAATAGAGAGAAAAAAAAAGCGTGTGGTGCATGGTATCAGTAGTTATAAATATTTTATGAACAGATATGAGTAGAAAGGTTATTTTGATAATATCCTGAAAAGCATCCTTCGTTTTTTTTACAATAAAATATTTTTTTCTTACACTATTTTTAAACTATTATTTATCTTTTAGTTGAATTTCAATAATTTTTTTTAGTATTGATTTGTCATCGATCCTTAATAAGTATACCACCAAATTTCAAGTTAATCCGACATTTCGAAGGGGGTCAGAATCACGTTCAAAGATTCCGTTACAAACATACACACGTCTCAAGCTATTATAATAAAAGCGTATTAAAAACTAACGGTGATTATTCAAAGTTGTATTGAAAACTCTGCAGGTGCTGGAGGCCCTGCTGTCGTACGAGCCGGAGCCGTTCGCGTGCTCGGCGGCGCCCCCCGGCGTGACGGAGCCGGCCGCGCGGACGCTGGCGCTGCTCGCCGACCTGTACGACCGGGAGCTGGTCGAGATCATCGGCTGGGCCAAGCAGATACCCGGCTTCACGGACCTGCAACTCAACGATCAGGTACCTGGACACATCTTTTTTTTTTGGTAATAATTTTTTTTTTATAAATAAACAAAGAGTAGGTATATTATATATGTGTTGTGTCAAAACCATAGTAGTTTGTGTGTATGTTTTTTTAATTGCCTTCAAGTATTTCTTATTCCTAATTTTAAAAAAATATTAGCATCCGGCACTCCTTCTCTATATGAACTATAAATGTGGGAAATTTCATACTCCTCCGTCTGCACAATTTTCGTAAAAAAGGGTACAAAGTTTTTGCTTCGCGTATTAATTTAGATAATTCTACTGTGCGTGTATATGTCAATGAACTCCTAAACGGCAGACCGATTTGGATGAATTTTTTTGTGTGCGTTTGGGTGGTCCCCTGTATGCTTTAGATTCACAAATCAGCCCGGCAGATGGCGCTGCTGTCGGTATCTAGATTATTTATCTATACTGCAACTAAACAGCTGGATCAACTTGAATTAATTTTAATTAATTAAAGACAACGTCTGCCGGGTCCGCTAGTTTTATATAGTTTTTTTTAAGAGATGTTATGACCTGGCAACTAAGTCCTTTAACTCATGTCTTATTTTAATTTATATTCTTATTTTTATGAAAAATGATTTTTTCAGTGGACTTTTTGGATTATCCAGAGAAGTTACGTCCAGCGGCTTTGTTTCATTTTCCCACATTTGTGCACTTTTACAGATATTAAACAGTTAACACTATTACACATTTAAGCCTGAAGAAACACTAAATAGACCAAATAAAACAAATCACAGAACTGCACTCCTCCCGTTTCCGCCAAAAAGTCGTTTTATATAGAGGATAAAAATGACAGAACACTAATTAAACATTTAAAAAAAAATTGGCACCCCCCTTAAAACTTGACGCGGGTATTTCCCTGCGGGTATATCCACTACAGTTGTAGAATGTTCTAACACGCATCATTTAATTTCCAGATGCGCTTGTTACAAAGCACTTGGGCCGAGATGCTGAGTCTCATGGTGGCGTACCGCTCGATGTCCAGCGGCGCCAACCTCAAGCTGCGGTTCGCTTCGGACCTCACGCTGGACGAGCAGGAGGCCCGCGACATCGGGGCCACCGATCTGTTTCTACAGGTACGCCCGAACTATTTGAATTGAGCAAATATATATCACTCATTTAATATCTGATTAAATTTGATAAAATATTAAAGAACTCGTCTCAGATAAACAACATTAAAATTAGATTATTATTTTTTATTGCATAGATGGGTAGACGAGCTCACAGCCCACCTGTTGTTAAGTGGTTACCGGAGCCCATAGACATCTACAACGTAAATGCCGTCATCCACCTTGAGATGTACCGGTGTTCGAATCCCGCAGGCGGGTACCAGTTTTTCTGATGAAATATGTACCTAAGAAATGTTCGCGATTGACTTCCATGGTGAAGGAATAGCATCGTGTAATGAAAATCAAAAATTATAATTTGCATAATTTGGCACCATCCTGCCTATTTCTGCCGTAAAGCAGTAATGCGTTTCGGTTTGAAGATTGGGGCAGCCGCTGTGACTATATTTGAGACCTATATTAACTTATATCTCAAGGTGGGTTGCGCATTTACGTCGTAGATGTCTATGAGCTCCAGTAACCACTTAACACCAGGTGGGCTGTGAGCTCGTACACCCATATAAGCAATTAAGAAAAAAAGCTCGGTCGTAAAACTCATGCCAAATCTCTATGCAGAATGATAATAGGACATGGTGCGACGACCTTACTTAATGTTGGATAAAGGTATGAAGAAGAAGTTTAACGAGATTAAGATAGATCTGTTCGTCTTATAGTTAAATGTTAGTTAATTTTTTTTGGGTTTCCTTAAAACTTGAATAACGAGTGGATAAAAAGACCCTTGTCGTACCGTAATGCTGACTGGCGCGCGCTGTGTGCAGGTGTCGGGCGTGGTGCGGCGGCTGGAGCGCGCGGGCGCCGTGCGGGAGGAGTGCGTGCTGCTGAAGGCGCTGGTGCTGGCCAACTCGGAGGCGCGCCTCGACGAGCACCTCACGCTGCGCCGCTTCCGCGAGCAGATCCTGCAGGCGCTCAACGAGGCCGTCGCCGTGCTGCGGTTAGTGACCCACACACACACACGTGTGACGTCATTTGAGGCTATCCGCGCGACGCTATGCTGTCGTGCGTTATGATTGTTTTTTTTAGTTTGACGCGATATACAATATAAATAATGCAGAATAGAAATGGGCATTCATAAAAATAGTTTAAAACGTTATATTGGTTTTCAAGATTATGACATGATCAGAGGCAGAAAATGAAGCTGTTGCCATAAAAAAATTAACCTGTGACATGGTACTCCTTGGTCAATGTTACCCGTTCAATTGATAATTTTTTTTAATTTTCCTTCGAACTCAGTACTGTATCTCTAAAAACGCGTTCGGGTGTGTTAAAAACCGCATCCTGTATGCTTAGTGCGAGTTTTTTTTACCGTAAACATTAATTCAAATTTGTATGCAGTTGGAACAGCGCTTCTAGCGACAACAGAATGGAAAGCAGTCGACGTCGCCCAAAACACGTCATTTCGGATCCTCCCGATCCGCTAACGATGCTTTTAGGTACCTCAAGCATTGGTCATTATTCTCGTCGAACCCGTCGCTTGCGTCGAAGGGCTCAACAAGTAAATTAACCCACAGACACAACCCACTGAGTTTCTCGCCGGATCTTCTCAGTGGGTCGCGATTCCGATCCGGTGGTTCGTGTTAGCAACGTCGTCAGGTTTGAGCCCCGTGAGCTCACCTACTAGTTAAGGTTGCGCTGAAATAGCCTCTCAAGGCTATCATCAGCTTAGGTAGAAAAAAAAAATCTAGCGGCAAACGCAGGCAAACATTCCAACTCCATACAAATTTGAGTTAACGTTTACGATATCGAGAACGTTAAAACACTCGCACTAAGCGCGCCGATACCCGCTCGTCCCGTGCGTGCGCGGTGTGACGTCACGCGTCGCTGTTGCAGGCCGTACGGCGCCAACTCCGCGCTGCAGCAGCTGCTGCTGGTGCTGCCGGCGCTGCGCCACGCGGACGTGGCCGTGCGCCGCTTCTGGGCCGCCGTGCACCGCGACCGCCGCGCGCCCATGAACAAGCTCTTCGTCGAGATGCTCGAGGCCTGTCTGCGGTAAGCCGAGCCCGACCTCCGTGCGCGACGACTGTTAATCATCAATGCTCCGCGCCTGACGACCGTCTATATAACACACCCGGGAGCCACATAAGCAAACAGGCGGAATCCTAAAACGCTATGAACAACTCGTTGATATTAATAAATTACAATTAATCACTTGAATAAACATTATCAGAGGTTTTTTTTTGGAGGTAACCGCTATAAATATCTCTTATTATTGACATTCAAATTGATGAGTAACAGTTGTTTGTTTAACGAACGGTTCGATGGCACGGTCCTCCCAGTCAGCGCCGGGCCGCGACGCGGAAGCGATACAAACGTCATCACAAATCCACATATCACGCGACGCGTTCGCCCCTCCCCCTTTTCCCCCGCCCCCAATCCTTTAGTCCGCATTTAACCCCATCCCGTCCCCCCTCGGTCCCGCCCGATACCGATCCCTTTAAGGCTCGTTTACACAAGGCGAAACCAAAGCTCGTCGCGTTCGTTTGAACCAAGCAGGAATGCGGAAGAAGGGGCCTTGTGTAAATCCGCCGTTAGTCTGTAGTTTATGGCTGTGATGTGTACGTAGTGCTGTGACGTCACGGGCGGCCGCGGGCCCGGCGTCGTCGATGTACAAAATGATGGACGATACTAGTACAAAAAAAAAAAACTTGTTACTATTTTTGTATAATATTAAAAAATATATTTCTAGATTTTAGTGTGCGAATCTACGAGATTATTGCGTTGTATGGTCGCGGGGATAATGTACCTTTGAGTTGGTGTTTACTGTTTGTTGATTAAACATGAACAAATGAAAAAAAAAATTATATTGTATTAGAATTGAAATCTTGTACAAATTGAAAGGTTTATTAAGTAAAGATTTTTCTATTGTCAAAAAATAAAAAATATCTAGGTTGTTATTTGAAATGATTTTGGTGCTCTCAATAAAAAAAAAACTTATCGTATGTAACCTATCTATGATTTTGGAATCAAACGTTACTCGAGTCGATAGAATTGTGCGACAAGTCTAGACTTCGTGAATGCTTTAAAAGTTTTAGCCTAAATATTTCAGAACTTAGTTCCGTTCTCCTCATAGTGTAAAGGTTCTTTCAACTAGATAAAGGTTATTTTTAAACGATTATTTTTAATCGATTAAACCTCCGGCCAATGTTGAGTAATAAAAGATTATTGACAGAACATCATAAATTTATATATGTTTAAATGTATATTAAGGCGGGATTATTGTTAGTGAAATGATACCTTAACTACATCATTGTATAATTTAATAATAAAATGTGTTGCTGAATTTAGTACAAAATCGATTGAAAATATCGATATTTATATTTAAGAATCGATATTGTTTCCCCGACCGTACTCAGCAGGATTTGATTTCTCGTCATGGGCCGTATTCGGCGCATTTATGTTACAGCGTTTTTTTTCTTGTTTTTTTTTTCATGTTAGAAGCTGTAGATCATGTAATCACCATCTTCTAACATGCTCTATCGGAAACATGGCAACGTCACTATCGAAAACTTGCATATATCGATAAAAATCATCGACTTAGTTTGCATCAAATAAAACGAATGATAGCAAGGAATAGATGATTTAAAGTTAGTAGCTTTTTTTTTTTAATTACTATTCTTAACTTCAAAGTAGCACAAAAGATTAAAACAATAAAAAAATACAAACCAAACTTTGAGCCGAAACAATTAAAATTCTCTATCGATCGAATTAATTAAGAATTACAATTTTATAAGGTTAAACTTGGTCATTCTCAAAATTTAAAAGTAAAAATCACGACTTTGTTATTGCAATAAACAACATATTGACATTGCCACAAGTTCCGCTGTCAGTCAAAATGTTAAATTCGAAATCTAATTAGTCTATATATTTCGTATCGCTGTTCCGCTAATCTGTAAAATAAATTTATTGACGGAGTAATTTATATTATTGTAAAGATGGTACAAAAGAAAAAAGCTAAAAAAATTAAACAATAATGCTGTTTAAAAATGCTAAATTTAAATTTTATATACATATTTATTTAGAAACTGAGTGTTGTGTTAGTGGGACAGTATTTATGTAGAATATTTCTTAATTAGGTTTTATAATCGCTGAGGAACACACTTATGATAATAATAGTATATTAATCTATACATATAAATAAAATTGGAGTGTATGTTTGTAGTACTGAGATAACCGCTTTTTACTACATGCATATGAATATATATACGGTACCATACACCGTATACAACAAAATAACATTTTTTACTATTTTTGTCTGTCTGTCTGTTTGTTCCGGCTAAACTCTGGAACGGCTGAACCGATTTTGACTTTCACTGATAGGTAGCTGATGATATAAGGAGTAACTAAAGCTACTTTTTTAGACTAGCTTCGCTCCGCGGCTTCACCAGTGGTACGACTAATAGCCGCGGGTATCATCAATAATAAAATTTAATCTTTCCGAAGCGAAGCGAGGGCTTTTCGCTACTATTTTTAAATAATATTATTACATAATAATAGTATTTGTTTGCAAAATAACGTGTTTCAAATAACACATGTCATTTGGATACAGGTTTAAAATAGCTATATTCAATTATTTGTACACATTTATTTAGTGACAATTATATTTTTTAGTGACAAAAAATTAACCAAGATTACAAAACCTAAGCTAAGAGATATTGAACAAATGAAATCTAAATACCTCGTAGAACTGTTACCGAGCACATAGTTTTAATAAAATAGTATGAGAGTTATCAAGTTTCCTATATTTTATTATTAATGTATACATATATAGTTGTACGCATTGCACACAGGTCCAATGTTTTTAAAACAGAAATATATTATTATTCAATTCTTATCAAATAAGATTCTGTTTACTTTATGTTCAATAGTCAAGTCGGTATGTTAATACATTTCAGAATTTAATTATGTGGCTTTGTAGTTATTGCATAGTAACACACATTAAGATAGTTTTTGACTGAGTGAAGCGAATGGTGATTATGTATTTATTTTGTTTCATTTAATCTGTGAATAAGTTTCGGGAATTTAAAAGGGATATTGTCTTCTCAGGTTCTTTCCAAAAATTGTATTGAAATATCTCAGTAAATTCCTGTTTTACTGATGATTATTACAATAATTAAGACAGGCTAGAACACCAAGAAACCGATGACCGTAAAAAAAAAACACAGATTATCTTTTTATTTGTGAATTTTCGTTGTACTGTTGACAAAGTAACAAAATGGATGAATAGTTATAACTGTATACGTGTTGCGCTACTTAAAATGGGTAAAGCTTTTAAAGCTTTGCTTGTCTATGTTCAAACGAAGTTTTAGACTAAAATCTTTCGTTCTTTTTGAACCATAAATCGTTGTAAATATTTATAATAGGTTTATTATTATTATTATTGTGTTAGATTACGTTAAATATTATTATTATTAAGCATTTTAATATATGCTTATGTTTGTTAAGAATATGTAATCTGTGACATATTATTATTCCGTTGTTAGTGGAGGGGGGTTGATTCTTAGCTCAAACACGCGGAGGTTTTAAATAAAAAAAATCTTCCCTACCAATTCACTGGTAGCCTAAGGGGTTATTCTAGATACGCCCTGATGGGTAGGTGAGCTCACAGGCACACCCTGAGAGAATTTGTTAACACTAGCCTTAGCAAGAACAATACTGCGACCCACTGAGAAGATCCAGCGAGAAATTTACGAGTTAAAATGTCGTGTATATTGTGTTGTCAGTATAATTGTATTTAGCGAGAACATCCGCGCTCCCAGTACGTAACATACGGAAACGCTAAATCGACCTTGATCATAATAATATCATCATCTAAAAGAATCGACGAATACACATGTCTAAAGATGAAAATGTTTCAAATCTTATTCTCTTTAATTTTTAAAATACGAAGTTACGTGTGAAGTGAGAAAATATCTTTATTTGTTCTTGCTACGTTATATTTTCCTCATCGTGTTATAATTACCCGTTTTCGTGGTTTGAACAAGTTTTATTCAGATTTTAGACACAAGTTGGTTATATTAAGCTTACGAACACAAATTGATGGGAACTATTCTGAAACAATCATGGCATTTGGAGGTTTGACTGAACGTGAATAAGTTTATTCGCTAATAAACTATTGTGGATTATCAAAAAGAAGAAAAATGAACAAAGATTCGAAATGATTGTACCTACTTGTAGTTGTTTTTTATGTGACGAATGTTTGTAATGTAATTTTAATTTAAGGATTTTGTTTTATGAATAAGAGGTCTCGGGGAGATACGAATGTGCCAGATTTATTAGTAGTTTTATTATAAATACGTTATCTGTTATTATGTACGTTATTGGTCTGCGATCACATGAAGGTTTATCGATGGGATACTTTCTTTTTTTTTTCAATTATATTAATAATATATTATGTCGATGCCGCGATTCTTCATTTGCACGGAACAAAAGTGACAAAATAGGAGTCATCTATCACTCCTGGGTTAAAAATGCTTTGTAATATTAAGTATTTGTATATTAAGATTATTTTCAAATTAAATTTTCAGTTTTAAGAATTTTCTAATGTATTTTTGGCGCACCACATGTAAATNTTTTTTTTTTTTTTCAATTATATTAATAATATATTATGTCGATGCCGCGATTCTTCATTTGCACGGAACAAAAGTGACAAAATAGGAGTCATCTATCACTCCTGGGTTAAAAATGCTTTGTTATATATTAAGATTATTTTCAAATTAAATTTTCACTATGTTTTAAGAATTTTCTAATGTATTTTTGGCGCACCACATGTAAAGACATGTTTTTTTTGCCAAAAATACAGAAAATGATTTAATAAATATGAGGAACTCGGAAAGATAAAAATATGAAACATAAAAAAATAATTGCATTTTAATGTTAATGAGGTTTGCATTTTAATGTGGACTAACCGACCGGTCTGATTTCAAGGTTTTTTCTTCACAAATTTTTTCCGAATGATGACAAAAGAATGGAATTTCATTTTTATTTATATATATATATGCATAATATATGCTCTGGACTGCGTGTTATCAAAGAATAACATCGCAGCGCGCACACGCTTATATTCTTATGCTCAACAAGTCCCTTCCCGCGGTAGGACCGCTTTGTTTACGTGAAACTGACCGCGGTCAATGGCGTATTTGTCTATTTTTTATAAAAAAAAAGGTAATCTTTTGTTTAATTTATGATGTTCTGATTTTAGTGAGTAGAGCACGTTTTAATCGAAAAGCGTCGATGTTCGTTTTTGGGCAGCTAATCTGCTTGTCAATGATCGACCGCAGCCATTTTGACTGACATTGAATTTATGTTATGTTTTTAGCATTCAATTTAAGAGTAATCTCGGATCAAATGTTAGTTGTAGAGCGAGTGCCCTGTGTCTTAGTTTCGTATTTATAATGTCAAAAAGAAAATAAAAAAAATGTACCTAAACTTTTTTTCTTTACATAATGTTATTATTGTATGTGAACCGGTAACGGAATAATGTGAAATAAAAATATATGAAACTGATGGTTTTTTTTTGTTCTTTACAATGTCGTATAGTTGTGGAGTTTAAGAGCACTCTCACTGCGAGTTGTCCGAGACAATAATAGCAAATTAACGGAAATAAGCTAATAAACAAATAATTGCTAAAAGGCAATCAGCCAAAATCACGAACCAAAAAATAAGATTTAATGTTGTTTATTCTGTGCAATAGAGAACTACATTGCATCTTCCACAGATAACACAATATACATTTTCTCTAACTTCACTATTTCCAGTCTTAGGTGTCAGACCTCCCTTTAATAACTATTATTTTTTGAATCATAAACGGCTAAGAAAATGAATGCCGTTATTATATACATTTGAATATAGAACAATTCGATTTTTTCAAACAGTATCGTTTCGTAACACCCTGTATATCTGTTGCGCAATCTCGATTCTCGTAAAACCTATTAAATTATAAGTTAGATTTCGGAATGTATAAGCTAACCAGCTTGAGATATAAATTTACAACCTTGTTCGATCACTTATATTACAAGATACAATTTGTATGAATTCCTTTTGCATAATAAAAGAAAAAAAAAAGAAAATTTATTGCCAGAATGCGAATATAAGAAGAAAAAAAATACAAGTTTAAGAGTGAAAATTATTTGCTAAATTGTTTTATTTACAAAATAAATGTATGTGACATTAAAATTGATTTATACTATATATTCAGACTATAGCGAATTGTTCGTACAAGAGTTCTCGCACTTTGTAATATTCTTCAGACAGGACTCCTTCTAGAGAAACTTGGCCGTTTTCCATCTGTGAAAGAAAAAGTACATATTACCACTGAAACTGGGCTACGAATTATAATTGAAAAATAAAAAAATCGAGGTTTTTTTTCTAGTTTTATTAAGATTTTGCTCTGTTAACTGATTTAATGAATTCATAGGGCTAGGACTGGCGTTCAATTTGTTCGATGATAAGCGGTTACCGGAGCCCGTAGCTATTACTGCCCTAATAATACATAATGATAAAATCTCACAATCTATTGCTGGATTGATTAACTATAAAATGTAAGTAGGATAAATATGTATGAAGTCTTCATGGCCTAAAGGATAAGACGCGGGGTGTACTTGTATTGAGCGATGCGACCGTGCCGGTGTTCGAACCCTGGCAGGCAGGTACCAATTTTGCTGATGAAACACGTACTTAATATATTATTATGTTTACGAATGACTTTTAGAAGGAAATAACATCGTGTAATAAAATTCAAAACCCGCAAAAATTTTAATTGGCTTAATTACTGGTGGTAGGGATCTCTTGTCAGTCCGCGCGGGTAGGTACCACCACCCTGCCTATTTCTGCCGTGAAGCAGTAATGCGTTTCGGTTTGAAGTGCGGGGCAGCCGTTGTAACTATACTTGAGACCAGGGGCGGATTATCCGTAAGGCAAACTAGGCACGTGCCTATGGGCGTGTAGTCAAGGGGCGCGCGAGCTCAAATTTTTTAAATAAATAAAGGAAATAACATATCGACGATTAAGAACGAAATGCTGATTTATTATCTAAATTGATGATACAACGTCATCGTAATTGCAAAAACAACTAGTTAAAACCTATAGTATTATGATGGCCATTTATGGCCGGTACAGGGGCGCCGATAAAGTGATTGCCTAGGGCGTCCTGGACCTTTAATCCGCCACTGCTTGAGTCCTTAGAACTTATATCTCCATTTACGTTGTAAGTAGATATATATGGGATAGAACAGACCAGGCTGTATGGGCTTAGATCCCCTTGCCTTTCCTAATAAGGAAAAAATTTCCAAAAAAAATAAATATCTATGGGTTTCGGTAATCATTTAACAGCAGGTAGGTCATGAGCTCATCATCAAATAAGGCTTGTGCGTGCATGGAGTGCGTGTGTAGTGTGCGTGTGAGGGTACCCTGCGCACGGCGAGCGTCCCGGAGCAGCAGGTGAGCGTGCCGGCGCCGAGGTCGGGCTGCAGGCCGGCGCGGGCGAGGGCGGCGCGCAGCTCGTGCAGCCGCACCGTGTTCACGAACGCGGCGGCGCGCGGCCGTCCCGCACCCGCCTCCAGCGACACCGCGCCGCCGCCCTCCTCTGCGACAACAACAACACTTTATACTAAGTGTGAAGGGTAGAGGCAAGGAGAACCGTCTCTATGTGTAAAAATTATCCGTTAAAATCTGCTAAGTAAGAGTGGCGCTACAGTAGCAACCGGGTAAATTTTAAATATTTATTTTCTATTTTTAGTTGAATTTTATATAAAGCGTGTTTTTTAGTTTTTTTAAACTATTATTTATTTTTCATTTTTTAGTTGAATTTCAGTTTTTTCAATTTTTTTTTTAATATTGAATTGTCGTCGGTCCTCGGTAAATCTACAAAGTTTGAATGAAATCTGGCCGTTTAAAGTGGGTCAAAATCGCGTCTAAAGGAGTCAGTTACAAACATACATACAAGTGAAGCTAATATAAAGCGTGTAAAAAAGCGCTCAAAATCATTAGAATAAGATAGAGAAATAAAAAAGACGAAAAAACTAAGCACTACAAAATCCCAAAAAGTATTTTATTTAAAGCTGATAAGAAAATACAATCGATGTCTCCACGTTTTATCACAGCAATAGTTTTAGGTTATATTGACGAAATTAGTTTGGACTACGTAAACATGTGAGGTCTTGTATATTATACTGTCAATAACTACTCTAGTCCTTAAATATATTAAATTTCCTAATTCAGCATACTTCAATCAGTTAACTACTGCTCAAATCATATCATGCCCTGTGCCTATACTAGCGCCATTCTGGAGGATTTTTGAACTGTTATTTAGTGCTGAAAGTGGGACACTTTTTAAAGCTTCTCCCATATGAGACGGTTCTCCTTACCTCTACCCTCCATAATACTTAGTTAAGGTAATAGCTTCATAGACTAGCAACCCAGATCATTGTGGTTTATGGACATTTTGTGGGTAGTCATTACAAAATACAAGATATTTGACAGGGACTTTTTGGCGGGAATGCGAGGAGTGAAGTTGTGCGATTTGTTTTATTTTGACTATTTAGTGTTTCTTTAGGTTTAAATGTGTATTAGCGGTGGTTTATTAACTGTTTAATATCTGTGAGCGTGCACAAATGTGGGAAAGTGAAACAAAGCCGCTGGACGTAACTTCTCGGGATCCCCCAAAAAGTCCACTGAAAAAATCTCAGTTACGGAGATTATCTTTCATCGCATATCATCTCATTTCATTTCATTTCATGCCATGTGTCACATTAATCAACTTCATTTCATTTCATAATATCATTTTTCGTATAAAAAGTTTTCATTAAAATTAACATAAGACTTGACCTAAAGGCCTTAGTTACCGGATCATAAAAAACTTCAACTAGTTAACTTTCACTGTACGTGTCGGAGCACGTTCAGTGCGTACACACTTACAAAGTTGTTGCATAACAGAGGTATCAGCTATTACAGAACATAAAACATTTGACATAAACTAGACTGGTGCTAATAACAGTGTCAATTACCGGGGGCGGCGTCGCTCTCCCGGGCGTGCGTGCGCGGCGCCACGACGGCGGACAGCCAGGCCAGCTCGGCGTCCCCGGCCTGCCGCCACACCAGGCCCCGCATCAGCCCGTCCGTCAGTTTCACCTTCGATCATACACATATATAAATCTACAGTGGTTTTTACGGATGTTCCGTTATAACTACAGTGTGCTTAGTGCGAGGTTTTTAACGTTCTCAATAGCGTTTTTTTGTCCTACCGATGCTGACAGTCTTGAGAAGCTATTTCAGCTTCACCTTAACGTGTGTAGGTGAGCTGACGGGGCTCAAACCTGATGACGTTGCTAACACGAACCCTAGCAAGAGCAGTGCTTCGCAGAATCTACCACCGGATCGGAAACGCGACCCACTGAGAAGATCCGGCGGATCGATAACGTAAAAGTTAAGCCATTTTTGTATGCAGTTGGAACAGCGCCCCTAGCGGCAAACGTAGGCAAACGTTCCCACTCCATACAAATATGAGCTAACTTTTACGCTATCGAGAACGTTAAAAAACTCGCACTAAGCAAACAGAACCATGCATCCGATTGACTTGAAACTTGGTATCCATGTAGAAAATACATGTACTTAATGGATAGGCTAATATTTATATTATGAGTCTTGGACTCCGTAATAATAATGACAATAAATAATAATGTTAATTTTAAATGCCCAGGGAAGCGGGCGTGTACGGATAGTCTTTAATAAGTAGGTACCACCGCCCTGCTTATTTCTGCCGTGAAACAGTAATGCGTTTCGGTTTGAAGGGCGGGGCAGTCGCTGTGACTATATTTGAGACCTTAGAACTTATATCTCAAGGTGGGTGGCGCATTTACGTTATAGATGTATTTGGGCTCCAGTAACCACTTAACACCAGGCTGTGAGCTCGTACATCCATCAATGCAATAAAATTTTTTATCTAAGTAAGGTTTTTATATTCGAGCTTATTACATTAAAGGCGGTTTACTTGTGGTTAATGTGTAGTACTGTCAGTACCTGATAGATGTGTGACTCTGTCGTGGCGTCGACGGTTTCCCCGACGGACGGTAGGAACACCTTCTCGATTCCTTCAGATTCACAATGTTTTCTGTAACAAAAATAGTGAAATGTTTCTAGTGCGGACAGTTAAGAGTATGGTCAAGAAACAGTCAGTGGTGGATTTACACTAGTGGCGGTCGGGGCAAGTGGCTAGGGCGGTAAAATTTTGAAAGAGAAAAAAATGTACAATTACTACAAAAAAAAAATTATGTTTTTGGAATATATAACATATGATAAAAGTTTCTGCAATAAATTAATTTTTCTCCTACCTACGCCGGAAGTTCGGTTTTCCTCACGCTGTACAGGGAAGAAAGTCTAACTTTTCCTCCCGCTGTACAGGGAAGAAAGTCTAACTTTTCCTCCCGCTGTACAGGGAAGAAAGTCTAACTTTTCCTCTCGCTGTAAAGGGAAGAAAGTCTAACTTTTCCTCCCGCTGTACAGGGAAGAAAGTCTAATTTTTCCTCCCGCTGTACAGGGAATAAAGTCTAACTTTTCCTCCCGCTGTACAGGGAAGAAAGTCTAACTTTTCCTCCCGCTGTACAGGGAAGAAAGTCTAATTTTTCCTCCCGCTGTACAGGGAAGAAAGTCTAACTTTTCCTCCCGCTGTACAGGGAAGAAAGTCTAACTTTTCCTCCCGCTGTACAGGGAAGAAAGTCTAACTTTTTCTCCCTGGGTACAAGTGCGCATGCGCGTTAGTGTCTGCGTCTGCTCTCCCGCACCTCAAATTCTCCGCCATTGTTGTGCTCGGGTAATTTGCAATATTGTGTTTAGTGTAAAAGTGAAATAAACAAAAGGCAATAAAAATTTATAGTGAAGTATTAAACAAAGATGAGTTCATCAGACAGTTCTTCTCCTGCATCCAACGTGACCCAGTGATCCTCACCAGGTCGTCGATACCATTCCACACTGCGCTTGCCAGTACGTGATCTCCATACAAGAATAATTCTTCCGAATTTCGTCCAATGGTAATCGAAATTTATAATTATTAAAAATGATGAAAAATTACTAGAAATTACATTATTTATTTATTTTCATATGCAGATATTTCCAAAAAAAGTTATTGATAACACTGTTCACAGAGAAAGAAACTTGTATTAAACTATTTTGATATATTGTAGTTCATGTAATAACAATACTGTTTATAGTACTGAGCAAGAAATAATGCACATCGACCTCTAGAAAGAGACATTCGGCTAATTTCGGCTTTGTAAAGCATTTTCCCTTTCGCACGAAATACTAACAGTCCGGTATCTATTAAGAGCTGTTGAAACAATTATTGTGAGTTGCTTATTTTGATTATTCTTTTTTTTTTTATATAAAATATATTTTCGCTATCAGCCGTATTTATTATCAGCCTATCAGTGTAATTATCTAGACCGTGTTGAAATCTTCGAAATTCATTCTCACTTTTAATTGCATGATCGCAAACCTTTTTTCACTCTCCAGTCACAATCATGTTTACTTTTTCTGCCAATAATGTTTTTACTGTAGTTAAATCCATACCCACATTTCTAGAGGCTACATAATCATGTAAAGGCTTTCCCTCTTTTTCCTAAAAATGCGATAATACAATTCTAAAACATTTAAATTTGGAGGTGTTAACAGCTCTCTATATATATTCTAAGCGGGACGCGACCATACTCCACCGCATTTGTCGAACGACTGACAAAACGTAGCATATGTAGTGTGCGAAAGGGACAATGCTCTACACAGCTGAAATTAGCCGAATGTCTCTTTCTAGAGGTCGATGTGCATTATTTCTTGCCCAGTACTATAGGTACTTTGTTTTTTTATTGAACCGGAGAGATGATGAGCCAATTCGCTAGGACTGAGCTAGGCTAGGGTTGTGTGTTTACCTGAGTTCTAACACACAACGAAGTGGACATGGAATTATTGGTACAATTTTTTTATTGCCCTTATAGGCAGACGGGCAGAATACGGCCCACCTGATGGCGAGTGGTTACCGTCGCCCGTGGACTTTAGCAATGCCAGTTGCAGAGCCAAGCCGCTGCCTACCGAATCAGTTGAACTCGGTGAGTTTGAATACTAACTTGAGGGTGTGCAGCGCCGCCTCGCTGGCCCGGAGCCCCACCACGGCCCAGGGCTTGGTCTGCGACACGACCCTGAGCAGAGATTCCCCGTCGCAGCGCCCCTCCAGCTCGATGTACTCCACGTGCGCCTTGACGTGTACCTGCCGCACCGAGGACACGCACTTGCTCGGGACCTCCGACATTTCCTCTGCGAACACGCAACTTTTTTTTTTTCCCTACCTAAGCTGATAGATAGCCTTGAGAGGCTGTATCAGCGGCGCCTTAACTAGTAGATGAGCTCACGGGGCTCAAGCCTGATGAAGTTGCTAACACGAACCCTAGCAAGAGCCGTGCTTCGCAGAATCTACCACCGGATCGGAAACGCGACCCACTGAGAAGATCCGGCGAGAAACTCAGTGGGCCGAACACGCGACCTTACACTATCTGCTATTTTATATCTATTTGGTGAGAATTTCCCACATCCGGTTCCTTGATCAAAGTCGCCAACAACTAGACAATATAACTAACGTTTTTAATACACTTTTATTAGCTTCAAACATATATATACGTTAGTATATAACGGAATCTTTGAACATGATTTTGACCCCCTTCAAAACGTCGGATTAACTCGAAATTTAGTATACTTATTAAGGACCGATGACAATTAAAAAAAAGGGTGCGTGTACTTATGTACGCGCGTAAGAAGTTATACTTTATTTGTTATTAAATTTATTTCTTTTTTTTTAATATTAAATAATTAATATTTAACGTCAATAATTTAATAATATTCTGTATGAATTATACCAAATAATAATTTTGTCATTTATATTACTAAATAATACATACGGATAGTTAACCTCAATTGTATTGGAGCACTTAGGAAGGTTGATGAGCACAGTTTTTTCACCAATATTTTCTAATATTAATTAAATCACTTCTGATTATAATTCAGACGCCCATATAAAATTCGCACTTGTATAATGAAAACAAAATGAAAAAACGTGTTTTAAATGTAGAAACTCAAAGCATGTGGATAAATATTATAAATATAAATACACAGTGAACAGAGGCGGCGCGGCGGCGTGCGTGCCAACATGCGCCACTAACAGAGGTTCCATTTCTGTTTTGTTGGTAGCTTTTTTTCTTTAGTGAGCAACTTCATTTCTGTTAATTTTGTGTCACGGTGCGCGCGCATCGTAAAATTTCACTCTCATCAATTTTTCATAACGCGCCTAAAGAAGTATAACTTCAAAAATATATTGAAAATATTGAAATTCAACTAAAAAATGAAAAATAAATAATAATTTAAAAAAACTTTTTTTTTTACTGCTTAGATCGGTGGAGCTCATAGCCCACCTGGTGTTAAGTGGTTACTGGAGCCCATAGACATCAACGACGTAAATGCGCCACCCACCTTGAGATATGAGTTCTAAGTTCTAAGTATAGTTACAACGGCTGCCCCACCCATCAAACCGAAACGCATTACTAATTCACGGCAGAAATAAGCGGGGCGGTGGTACCTACCCGTGCGGACTCACAAGACGTCTTACCAGCAGTAATACTTAGTTTGTAACTATATGCTAATTATTTTATTATGGTATAAAGAGAGAGCTTTATTATTATTACGTGTGGTGTACATTGACCTTGAATTCAATTTGTTATAGGTTGCGGGGTTAGTTATACTATAGCAGACTTTATATTTTATTTATATTGTTTTTATGGCCTCTGCAGATATATGAGCATACGGTCCAATTGGTGGTGAGTGGTTACCGTCGTCCATGGACATCAGTAATGCCAGTGGCAGAGCCAAGCCACTGCTTACCGTTAAGTACTATAAGTCTCGTTTGAAGAAGGACATGTCATTATTTATGTACATTTCACTCACCATCTTGTTCCTGTTTGATGGGGGCAGTGGGGGGCACGTCCCGGATCTCCCCTTCGGCGTCCACTATCTCGGCAAGTCTGTAATCTTCTGGCTACAAAACACCAATACAAACTATGAAATAAATACAATTTAATAAACAATTTAATAAAGCAATAAAAAGTCTATTGTTGTTGAGTTTGTAGTGACCCTGGCACTCGCGGGCTGCTGGATACGGAGGAGTACCTTAATGATCTCTCCGTAGTCATCAGCCCTGGTCCGCTCCTCGTGGAAGGGGTAGATGGCGTGGTGCCGCTTGTTGGACTTGAAGCAGCCGCCCAGCCTGGTCTCCAGGCGCACGGGAATGTCGTGTCTCCCGGTCACCACGCACATCTCCAGCTCGTCCTCGGAGTCAGAGTCCGACGAGATGCCAGCCACCTCCTCCCTGGAACATCGACCCATTGCTGTTACTTAGTATTGTGGAGCTCTCAGCTCTGCTGGTGTCAGTAGGGTTACCAGAACGTATCAAGGACACGGCGTGGCTGCGTTCCTCCGCCGCGAGGTCCGAATGATAGATATTCCTTTGAATTGTTATTCCTGTTCGCTTTCTGTAACTATACTGAGACCTTAGAACTCATATTTCAAGGTGGGTTTTTTTAATATTTTTTTTATCGCTTAGATGGGCGGACCTGCTTACAGCCCACTTGGTGTTAAGTGGTTACTGGAGCCCATAGAGATCTGCAACGTAAATGCGCCACCCACCTTGAGATATAAGTTCTAAGGTCTCAAGTACAGTTACAACGGCTGCCCCACCCTTCAAACCGAAACGCATTACTGCTTCACGGCAGAAATAAGCAGGGCAGTGGTACCTACCCGCGTGGACTCACAAGACGTCCTACCGCCAGTATATATTATCTAGTTGTTGGCGACTTCGATCGAGGTACGGGATGTGGGGATTCTCGGTGCGAATGCTTATTAAAGAATAACCGCACTCGTCCGCTTCGCTGGGCATTTAAAATTAACATTATTATTTATTGTCATTATTATTAGGGAGTCCAAAACTCTTATTATAAATATTAACCTATCCATTAAGTACATGTATTTTCTACATGGATAGCAAGTTTCAAGTCAATCGGATGCACGGTTCAGTAGTTATAACGGAACATCCGTAAAAACCACTGTAGATTTATATATTAGTTTAGATAAGGTAAAACCTTTTTTTTTAAAGGGATTTTATGACCCGGTAACTAAGACCTTTAAGTCACGTCTTATTTTAATTTACTACCAGTAATTACGCAAATTATAATTTTGCGGGTTTGATTTTTATTACACGATGTTATTCCTTCACCGCAGAAGTCAATCGTGAAAATTTGTTAAGTACGTATTTCATTAGAAAAATTGGTGCCCGCCTGCGGGATTCGAACGCCGGTGCATCGATACATACGAATGCGTCGTTTGATAGTGTGCGAGGAGGCAATTCGTGGAATAACTTCATATAACGCCCGTGTGTGTGCGTGTGATCAAATACAAAATAGGAACGCGCTAGTGTGCGCGCCGCCGGTAGCAAAAAAAAAAAAACTCCGTGACAGTGTACATTGCGCGCCGACTGAGGGAGCGGTCCCCGCGCGTCCGCACTGACCTCACGGTATTGGTGACGTTCATTCTCTGCTGCTGCAAGAACTCCTCCAGTTCGGCGCCTTCCAGCTTCACCCTACGTCGAACCACCATCTCGATGACGCGGTCCCCCCCGTTGTCTATCAGATCTCTTGCCAGTGTGCCGGGGGATGTTCTGAAAATTGTTTGCATATATTTATTTATTTACTGGTGGTAGGACCTCTTGTGAGTCCGCGGGGGTAGGTACCACCACCCTGCCTATTTCTGCAGTGAAGCAGTAATGCGTTTCGGCTTGAAGGGTGGGGCAGCCGTTGTAACTAAACTTGAGACCTTAGAATTTATATCTCAAGGTGGGTGGCGCATTTACGTTGTAGATCTCTATGGGCTCCAGTAACCACTTAACACCAGGTGGGCTGTGAGCTCGTCCATCCATCTAAGCAATAAAAAAATAAAAATAAAATTATAACTCTATATACTAGACAGTATAAAGCGGACTTAATGCCATGGGCATTCTCTGACAGTCTACCTTAGGGGGGTGCAGAGATGAACCTTGGTAGGTGTAGTGTGAAGGTGATATTACTTAAGCATATATATATATATATATATATATATGTATATATATATATGTATATATATATTTTTTTTTATAATAACTAAGAGGCAAACGAGCAAGACGGGTCACCTGATGGTAAGTGATTCACCGCCGCCCACGGTCACCAGCGTTTACGCCAGTGCGTTGCCCACCCTTCAGATAAGAATATGCTTTTTTCTTGAATAACCCAATGTCGCAGTTGTTGGGGAAGACCGCTGATGGCAACGAATTCCAGAGATTTACTGTGCGTGGCAGAAAACTGTTTTTAAAACGCATTGTACTGGAACGCCAACCATCCAGATGGTGCGGATGATAGATATTAGTATATAACATACATAATATTTGTAGATACAAATACTTGTACTTAAATAAATATATATACGTGTAAAGAAAAACTTTTGGTATTTAAAACCTTTAAAACTTAAAAAAAAGAGTTTTCTTAGATGGAATCACTCATCTGTCTATCATTCAGTGAAGAGTGTAGTTCAGTTTTGCTTAATATAATAATACTGTTTAAAATATTAATTAAAAAAGATATTCAAGGGCTTTGAATGTTATTATCCTATTATATTACAGAAAACGCAATTAAATCTCTCATTCTTTATTCATTCTAGAGTATTCCATATCATCACATACATATTAACTTGTTGAGTCTCTATATCGGGCAAGGATTAATAAGACATGTGTTCAGCTAAGTGACTAACGTATATTGGGATTACAACGTAACGTGCTACCGACAGCCCGACAATCTCGGGACTGACGTAGTATATTATGGTATGGTATAAGTAGTTATAAATAGTTTATGAACAGATATGAGTAGAAGGGTTATTTTGATAATTCCCGAAAAGTACGCCCACGATTTTTTATAATAAAATCATTATTTTTTACACTGTTTTTAATTCAAATTTATTAAAATTAATTTTCAATTTTTTTGTTGGAATTTCTATAACAGCGTATTTTGTTAGTTTTTTTAAACTATTATTTATCAACTAAAAAATGAAAAGATTTTTTAGTTGAATTTCAATGTTTTAAATTTTTTTTTAATATTGAATTGTCATTGGAACTTATAATAAGTTTACCAAATTTAGAGTTAATCCGAAGTTTTGAAGGGGGTCAAAATCACGTTCAAAGATTCCGTTACAAACATACATACGTCTGAAGCTAATAAAGACGTATTAAAAATATTTCAGCTCACCTGGCCGTCAGCACGATCGAGTTGTGGGAATGTGGGGCCCACTGGAGGAACAGGTCTCTGGCGAAGCCCGCCTCCAGGTCCGGGAACGAGGCTAGGACGACCTTGGGTCCCGGGGTCCTGGTGACGTCACCGGCCGAGTGGCACAGCTGCACGTGTCTCAAAGCAAAGGGATTACTGCGAGCCCCTTCAAACGCCCTCGTCAGTTTGTCGCTCATCCACTCTATCTACAACAATATTTCAACTTGATAAATTTTTTTATTGCCCTTGTAGGCAGACTAGCATCAGTATCGGCCCAGCTGATGGTAAGTGGTTACCGTCGCTTGTGGACGGCAGAGTCAAGCCGCTGCTTACCACTGAGTACTCTCCGCAAGCCTCGTTTGAAGAACTGGTGGTAGAACCTCTTACGTCCGCACGGGTAGGTACCACCACCCTGCCTATTTCTGCCGTGAAGCAGTAATGCGTTTCGGTTTGAAGGGTGGGGCAGCCGTTGTAACTATACTGAGACCTTAGAACTTATGTCTCAAGGTGGGTGGCGCATTTACGTTGTAAATGTCTATAGGCTCCAGTAACCACTTAACACCAGGTGGGCTGAGAGCTCGTCCACCCATCTAAGCAATAATAAAACAGAAGGACATGTAATTTATTTCTAATCAAATGTAGAATGTTTAGGTTACATTTGTCTTTTATATTATCAAGGTTCGTTTTTATATCTATATTGCCTACACATTTATTTTGACCAAATAATACTATTTTTGCATGCATGATAAAAAAAAAACACTATTAGATTCATCGATTAATTCACACACCTGAGATTTAGCGAACTCTACGACATTGTAACTGACGTTGGACAGGAGAAGTAACGAATAGGCCACAAGCCCGGAATCCTTGTTTCTCCACAGTTGGTCCAGCATGTGGGCCAATTCTAGAACTCGACCGGCTGTGTCTGTGCATACCAAAACGCAGCCGCCTCCTCGCAGCGTTGTAAGAATTGTTGCTGTAATTCAAGATTGTACAATTTAGTATTTTCTTATGATTTCAAGGGTCGTAGACATTATTAAAACCACTATTACGGTTTTAACTGATCATCTGATTTCAGTCTAACAGATTCAACATCTTCCGTGACCACAGAAAGTGTAACCTTAACTGTATCCGAAACATTTGTACTAATATAATGATAATAATAAAAAAGCAAGATTTAATTATTTTCCTACCTAAGCTGATAGCCTTGAGAGGCTATTTCAGCGGAACCTTAACTAGTAGGTGAGCTCACGGGGCTCAAACCTGACGAAGTTGCTAACACGAACCCTAGCAAGAGCAGTGCTTCGCAGAATCTACCACCGGATCGGAAACGCGACCCACTGAGAAGATCCGGCGAGAAACTCAGTGGGCTGTGTCTATGGATTAATTTACTCGTCGAGCCCTTCGGTGCTTGAGGTACCTAAAAGAACCGTTAGTGGATCGGGAGGATCCGAAATGACGTGTTTGGGGCGACGTCGACTGCTTTTCATTCTTTCCGCAGGATCGGGAATGTACGAGATTTAACCGTAATAAGACATGTTTTAACAAAAACCGACAAAAATTAATTCCAAAACAAATTAATATACACTAAAAACAATAATATTTGAATATTGAGTTATTCATCTATTTGTCGCGCGCGTACTTAATGCAAATTTAAGACTTATATGGTTTTCTCATGAATATCATTATCAGAACAGGACTAAATTGAAATGGGACCACATGGGAAGCGTCAGCTTTCTAATAAAAAAAGAATCATCAAAATCGATTCACCCTTGTTATGAGGTAACAAACAAAAAAAAACATACGGTCGAATTGAGAACCTCCTCCTTTTTTGAAGTTGGTTAAAAATAATTTTAAGTATAGAAAAAAGGTTTGTTAATATAATAGCTCTGAGAAAAAAAAAGTAAATAAAAACAACCCTGAAATTGAAGTAAAGCATCAGGATCTTAGTTTTGCTACTGGAGATGATAAAAAATCATAAATGCAGCTGCTGAGGTGTCCAGAAATAAGCACACATATCATAGATTATTACTGGTGGTAGGACCTCTTGTGAGTCCGCACGGGTAGATACCACCGCCCTGCCTATTTCTGCCGTGAAGCAGTAATGCGTTTCGGTTTGAAGGGTGGAGCAGCCGTTGTAACTATACTTGAGACCTTAGAACTTATACCTCAAGGTGGGTGGCGTATTTAAGTTGTAGATGTCTATGGGCTGTGAGTTCGTCCACCCATCTAAGCAATAAAAAAAAAGGTTTTAAGTTGTAGATGTCTATGGGCTGTGAGTTCGTCCACCCATCTAAGCAATAAAAATAAAAAGGTTTAGGCCCCGACACTACCACAGTATGGTAAATTTTCGAAATTTACATGTAGTTAACATACCTAACTGCCGGGTGGTGGGTGTGATTTCCACATAGGACAGATATTCGTGTGATGAACAGGGTTGTCATATAAGTGTACCAGACAACTTATCTATTAGACCCTAAAGTTTTATGTGTTGTAAACTATTACTAGTAAATCCGAAATCGTAACATTTATATGTATATTCACTAACTCATCAATTTTTCATCTCTCAGTCTTCTCCTCTGTTGCACGTAATCAGCATTCATAGCTCCCAACAGCATCAAAGAGGGTCTCATCAGTCTTTCGATGTCACATCCATTCAGATGTCTCTCTTTCTTGTGGTTGAAGTCAGGCGCGTAGACAATATCTTCCTCGCCAGGGGCGGATATGCGCCATATTGTTCCACCGAGGGAATGGCCAGCTGGGAGTGGTGTAATGCGGAGACCTAGACCTTTTCCTAGGAAAACAAAATTGAGTTGAGTAATGAAATGAAAGAATTGATTTTTATGAGTATTGAGTCTTTAGCACCTTAGAGAAAAAACATTTTTTTTATGCTTGAGATTTAAAACAATAATCCATGTTGTACCATCCATCATGTTGTAAATCCAAGAGATGTATAGAAATGGTAGTGCAAGGTAGAGGGAGAAGAGGTTGACCAAAGAAGACATGGATGGAGTGTGTGAATGACGATATGAGAGAGAGAGGAGTGAGTGTTGAGATGACGGCTGATAGAAGAGAATGGAAGAGAAAAATTAGCTGTGCTGAAACCACCTAGTGGGATAAGGTGGAGAAAAAACAAGAACCCATGTTGTACTCATAGCAATCACACTGATTAGAATGAGGACAATTCTAAAGTGCTTAAGACAAGATGAATTTATTATAAGCCTGAAAAAATTAGTTTGGTAGTCTACTAGTCTGGCTGTGATTTGGTGTTCTTGTTGATAAGCTTTCTTGTCTGCTTTTTTGTAGGGTGTTAAGCATAGACAAGTTAAATTAATATTTTATTGCATATGAGTATATTAAATGTTTATTGCGACCTCTCTTCTCTAAACTGGTGGCAGCACGTCTTGTGAGTCCACACAGGTAGGTACCGTCATCCTGCCTATTTCTGCCGTGAGGCAGGAGTGCGTTTCAGATTGAAGGATGGGGCAGGCATTGTACTGTAAAACATTAGAACTAACTCATGTCTCAAGGTAGGTGGCACCATTTACGTTTTAGATGTCTATGGGTTTCCGTAATTACTTAACACTAGACAGGTAAACCGTCCCATCAAGCAATAAACAAAAAAACCAGGTGTATATAGCATAAAAATCAAAAGCATAACAGAAACAACTGCAAATGTAAATAAATTCAGTTATGTATTACCTTTCATTTCAATGCTCTGATTGTACTTCAACTGTACGATTCTGTCAAAAGCCATATCAACATCATCCAGTGTGAACAAATCGAACTCGGAAACATTCTTATGGGCTTGGTATAAATCGTACATGAACATCTGCCCCATTTTGTATACCGGTAGAGTTGCATATATAGGACAGCTAAGACCGAGTTTTCCAACTGCATATGGAAGAGCTCCTAAATGTAGAGGATCCGAGTGTGATATTAGTACAGCATCTATTGTGTTTACATGTCTGAAATTAATAAAATTTGTTTGTATTAGTATCAAAGTTTGGTTTATTATTTTACACAAAGTGATGAGCACAATAGATATATGATGACTACATAATTAAATGAATATTTTATTATTAATATTGACTCTTTTAATTTTATATAAACCTATCAGTACAATACATCCACATGGTAAACCAAAGCAAACAATATTTGAGTAGATAGTGAACCAAAATAGCTGATATTACCACACAAACAAATCTAAAATATCTGTACTTCTATATTTTGCAAAATTTATCTGTTTTACGTATAAATATTAAAATAGTAATTATGTAATTATTAATTTATTTAGGAAGAGAGGCCGTCCCAGAACAACTTGGCGTCGCTCGGTGGAGCAGGAGCTAGGGGTCTTGGGCATGACGTGGGAGGAGCTAGAACAGACTGCCCAAGACCGATACAAATGGAAAAATTTGATTCGAGCCCTACACCCCAGCAGAGTGTAATAGGAAAGCATGATGATGATGATGATGTATTTAATGTAAGTACTAGTTCATATGTTCTAGTAAAATTTGTTAAAGTATAAGTTTTGTTCCTAGCAAGTGTTTTTTTTTTTGTAATTGGGTGATATTTTTTTCTTCTTTCCCACATTATGCCAATGCTGGATGTCCTTTTTTCCAATCAGCCCTATCCGATACTTTTTAGGACACCCTGTCTCATATTAAAGCCTAATTTCCTGTTTATTTTATTACAGGAGTAATATTTTTTCTATATAAATATTATGTTTAGTCCTGTGTCAAGGCAAAGGCGGCATCAGGACCGAGAAATAAAGTTAAGTGTGTTTTTTAAGTTTATGATTGAAGAACACCAATTTAACGTGTGGAATTAGTGGCTATCGGTAGTGGTTTCAAAGCAGAACTATGCTGTTATGGTAATCGCACCGTTGGTAGTGTTTATTTAGTATAAAAACAACGGACTGGAATCCTGATGAGAGTTCATCTGTAGTATTTGATATTCGGGGTCAGGGTGTGTTTGTCCGTGTTCTGTATATATTGGCGAATATATATAGCTTGGGATCGCTGTATGTTGAACGTTATTTTTTATTATTGTATACTTTTTTTATTCTTCGAAACATAACCTAAAAACTAACCTTTTAAGTTCTTTAATGAAAACCATATCGAATTTCTCGTCCCATCCGCAATCCAGGAGGAATTTGAATTCATCTATTTGGAGCACATAGCACGGAGGAGTTTCCTCACCAGCACCAGATAAGCAATGTAATTTAATTATTGAAGTCATTTTGTACTATTATTTGGTAGTTTACTGCATATTATAATTATCTAATTTTGTTTTAATGCAGGTACGGTAGTGATTGTTCAATTAGAATGCCGAATGATATAACATTTATTAGTAAATTATATTTTTAAAGACGTTTTTGTTTAGCTAAACTCTTTAGAATTATTGTTTTTTTAAGGAATTTTATGACCTGGTAACTAAGACCTTTAAGTCAAGTCTTATTTTAATTTATATTATTATTTTTAGGAAAAATGATAATATGGGGTGAAATTACATGAAAATGATTAATTTGAGACATTAATCAACTGAGATGAAATTAAATGAAATGAGATGAGATGATATGAGATAAAATAATATAATCTCAGTAAAATGGTGGTTATTTACTACTGAGACTTTTTTAGTGGGCTTTTTGGAGAATCCCGAGAAGCTACGTCCAGCGGCTGTATTTTTTATTCCACATTTGTGCACTTTCACAGCTATTAAACAGTTAATAAGCCACCGTTATTACGTATTTAAGCCTGAAGAAACACTAAATAGACAAAATAAAACAAATCAGACAACTTCACTCATTCATTTATCATAGGGGATATTTTACGAAATGACAAACAGGAATACAGGAATAGTATTCTCTCTACTCCTATTTAGTTTATTTATTAACGACATTCCCCGGTCGCTGCCGACCCATTTAGCCTTCTTCGCCGACGACACAACCCTTTACTACTCGAGTAGAAACAAGTCTCTAATCGCTAGTAAGCTCCAGAGTGCAGCATGAACCCTCGAACAGTGGTTCTGAAAATGGCGCATAGATATCAACCCAGCGAAAAGCACAGCAATGTTATTTCAAAGGAGAAACTCATCGCTTATTTCCTTCCGTATTATGAGAAGAAATATCACACCCCCGATCACACCCTGTCGCCCTGGATGCATCCATGACATTTCGCCCACATATAAAATCAGTCCGCGACCGTGCCGCCTTTATTCTCTGCAGACTCTATCCCATGACCTGTAAGCGGAGAAAAATGTCCCTTCGGAATAAGGTGACACTTTACAAAATTTGCATAAGGCCCGTCATGACTTAGGCGAGTGTGGTGTGCGCTCACGCGGCCCGCACACACATAGACATGCTCCAATCCCTACAATCTCGTTTTTGCAGGTTAGCCGTCGGAGCTCCGTGGTTCGTGAGAAACGTTGACGATCTGGAACCTCGAGTCGATCTGAAAATACACGAAGTCAGCGTCGGAACGTTACTTCGATAAGGCTAGGCGTCATGATAATCGCCTTATCGTTGCCGCCGCTGACTACTCCCCGAATCCTGATCACGCAGGAGCCAGTCACCGTCGACGCTTTAGACTCGACCAAGAGTTCGTCGTGCAGACTAACCCATGCATAAGCCCGCTGAGTTTCTCGCCGGATCTTCTCAGCGGGTCGCGATTCCGATCTGGTAGTAGATTTATTCGCGAAGCAGTTGCTCTTGAGTTGTTAGGTCTCCTTCAGAGGCGCTCGGGCAGCTGTTAGCAAATCTAACCCCGCCTGGCTGCTCGGCAAGCAAAAGCTCAGCTCTGTGAAATTGGAAAGGCCTCCGGTGGCCGTGGTAGCCAGAAGGCCCGCTAAAACTGGAACACGTAGACTTTTTGGCAGGAACGCGAGGATCAAGCCAGCGAAATTTAGGAATTCTCTTAATTTGTTAATTTAGCTATTTTTCCAGCTTAAGCGTGAAATGATGGAGGTTTATTAACTGTGTATTAAAAAAGTTTATTAACTGTAGCATCTGTGAAATTCGAGAAAATGAAACAACGAAAATGGCTTGTTTTCTTGGGTTCTTTCAAATCTCTACTGGAGTCTCAGAAAATTGCCATAATTTTACTGAAACTATGTTATCTCATCTTATTTCACTTATCATTTATCAGAATGTGTATGTACATTGTCATATATATTATATGTTTGAAGATTTTATAAGCTCGAAGACTCGTGAAAACAATGGCATAGCAAGTAGCCAATTAACATACTTGAAACAGAAGAAAAAGAAACTGTAAAATTACACTCTTATTATTTTAATTGGATAATGTTGTTATTGATTTTTTTAATTGATAACATGAGTCGATGAGCTCACAGCCCATCTAGTATTAGATGGTGATCGGTTTCTAATGAAATACGTACTTAACAAGTGTTCACGATTGACTTCCACGATGAAGGAATAACATCGTGTAATAAAAATAAAAAAACCCGCAAAATTATAATTTGTGTAATTACTGGTGGTAGGACCTCTTGTGAGTCCGCACGGGTAGGTACCACCTCCCTGCCTATTTCAGCCGTGAAGCAGTAATGCGTTTCGGTTTGAAGGGTGGGGCAGCCGTTGTAACTATACTGAGACCTTAGAACTTATATCTCAAGGTGTGTGGCGCATTTACGTTGTAGATGTCTATGGGCTCCAGTAACCACTTAACACCGGGTGGGCTGTGAGCTCGTCCACCCATATAAACAAACAAAAAAAATAAAAAAAAAATCTTTAAGCCGCAGACAGAACCCTCTAGGGTTCCGCAAGTGATGCTCCGTAGTGAATCCTGCGAAAATCACAGTGGTGCTATATATAAAGTCAGACGTCCTCGGATCGTCCAGATGGATCCCCTTGGTTCACTCTCAGGGCTCTTCTGGTTCACTCTAATTATGGAACTCGCTGATGAGTTCACCGTGATAATTAATCCATAGCGGCAGTTCAGTTTTTGCCGGATTTTCTCAGCGGATCGTGATTCCGAATTTTTGGTAGATACACTGGCATAGCAGCTGGCCTTGAAGAGTTAGGTCTTTGCAGCAACTCAGGCGGTTGGTAAAGTGGTATTAGTGTCTACTTAATAGTATACAGACAGATTATCATCCAGTTCGTTAGTCTTGCGGCATGAATCATCTAAATATCGATAAATTTAAAGATGGTGACATTTATTGTTAATCTTTACAATTTCTAAAGCGCTCAAGCTGTATACTGTGTAATCATTATTTATGCAAAATTAAATTTTTTACTTACCGTTAATTAGTTTGATAATATAGTTCACGAATAAGCAGCACACAAAAATGGATAACGCTACTATTACGTAAGCCCACCATTCTAGGGCCGGAATCTAAATAGTGAAAAAAAAATACTTTATTGTTTTTATGACAATTTAACTTTTGGCACGTCGAATACCACTCGATGTTTTGGCACGTCAAAATTACAAATTACAAACACATATATTATGTCTATGCCCGACTAACTTCGCTAAAATGAGAGGTTTGCAATCCAACTGCTGTGGGGTAGATACGGAAACCCAAGTGCAAGGTGAATTGGAATAGGGACTGGTGTAAGAAAAAAAAAAGTACAAACCATAGCTTTAATAACCGAGAAAGTTCTGGTTTTAACAATAAAACGTAATGTGGTTTTAGCCAACGACAGAAATGTTTTTATTGCCATGTTTTATTCTTCAATCACACAATTACCTAACTTATGTAACGTTCTGTCATTTGTCTGTTGGATTATATTATTATAATCATATTCAACCAAAGAGGTATTCTTTTAGAGTATTTCATTCAAAACGAACATTGAATAGTGAGTATCCGGATATAATGGCGGCTATAATTTTTTATAGTGGTCGGTTCTGAGCGAAGTGTCGGAGATAGAAGAGATAGTTAGACGGCCGAAAAATATCATTCCGACGTAGCAAAAACACGTGCTTGGTTGAAAGAGCTGCTATTAGAGTGATAGCACGTGTTCGTCGATGGTCCGTAGTCTGATGGTAGCTTCATGATTTCGACGGATATAATAGCTTCTTATAGTAGCATAACACTTTATCATAAGTTTACAGATATCCTACAGCTGGACAATTTTTTTTTTATTGCCCTGTAGGCAGACGAGCATACGGCTCACCTGATGGTGAGTGGTTACCGTTGCCCATGGACTTCAACAATGCCAGGGGCAGAGCCAAGCCGCTGCCTACCGCTAAACAAGTCTCCCAATGTTCGTTACAATGACTGGTTCTGCACTGCCTTCAACCAACCTATCTTAAAATAATGTGATAGTACATATAGGTCCTAAGGCAAATAAAACCAAAGCAACGTGTACACGAGTTAATTCTTCGAAAATCCTTTGAATGCCCGTCCAAATTGTTTTAATATTTCAGTGTTATCACACGTAGAGATTTAATTGAAATTCTCGGATTTTTTTATATTATCTGTGCCTCTCTTCGATTTGAACTAAGAATGTAATTTACAGTATTCTGTAAAGTTTGTCTTGGGTAAATTTATTTGCAAAATTTTGATTGGCTGTGTTATGTAAAATACCGCATATTTTAGACAAAGAAAAACCAATGGTGTAGCCTTAGAATTGGTAGCGGTGATCTCTGAGTAGGTATAACAGGCTACTGCGATGGTGAACTGGCATTCCAACCATACTGTTGGAAAAAACCAACCAACGTATGGTTGGTTTTTTAGGCCCGGTCGATGATAATATTAATGGCACACAGCACGACCGAATATATCAGGATTATGGGGTAAAGTGTTGAACTCAAATTAAATATCTACGGAATGTGTAGACGCGAGATAAGCAAACTATGAAAATATTTAAAATTTGGTCGTTGCAAGTGAAGGACACAGACTGCGGGAAGAAACGATAAGAAGCGGCAGTTCTGCGTTAAAGGAAGGATGCACAATACCTTTATGTAGTCCTTGCTGCAGACTCGTACCACTTCGCGATGAGAAACACCAACGATTTCACTTATTTACTTATTTAACATAACAAAGACACGAAGCGNCAACGATTTCACTTATTTACTTATTTAACATAACAAAGACACGAAGCGCGCGCGCGGTTGTTCAGCCATATTTTTTCGTCTCGATGTCACCACACGATCTCGCTCGCACGCGTCCGTAGGTAAAAGTGCCGGAGAGGGATGGGACAGGATTTGCAAAACCAAATTAAAAATGTTGCTATTTTTCGAAACCTAAAACTAACTAAGTTTAAACCAGCGCAACCAGAA